GTTATCACTACAAAATACATCGACCATTGAGTCGTTAAGCATTAATTATTGCACATCATCTGAATTATTAATTATTGAACATAGCAGTCACTTTTAAAACTCTCTGCATCCAGCAATAACTCCTCAGCTGTCAGTTAAACCTACTATCTTAGTACTACGTTATTTGATAAAACTTCGCAAAATATTATTCTAAATTACTAAAAAAATCTTTACCACATTATATTCACTGTAAAACGAAGTGGGACGCGCAAATTTCTTACTCCTCTTATCTCGATTAATTATATCAAAAAAATTTAATATTTATAGCATCCATAGATTTGCCCTAGAAATTCAAAATTATCTTTCCCCTACTTCCATTTCCAAAATACTTCTCAAAATTTTTTATGAAAATTAGATTTCGCATAATTTTGACTGATTTAAATCTTTCATACATCCGATTCCCTCTCATTTTCCCCATCCAAAATTGATAACAATCAAATTGTATTCACCACGCTTCTCTGAGAAATGATAGTTATCATTAAAAAACGCAGATTTGAAAACAAAATCAAGACTGGATGAAAATCACAAACAAATCTTACTTTTTCTCTGAATACAATAAGACCGATTTGATAAAAATGGAAAGCACGACCTGGAATGTATTGTAAATATGCTTCCACTACTATGATAGTCATATTTTATAAATGACTTTCAAAACATATAAGTTAACTTAAATAATAAAAAAAAAAAGCTTCAAGTGTTCAGGGCCAGGTATCTTGTTAACAATGTCGGCTTAATAAGACGTAGCGGTATTATAAATCAATATCGCTACGCTGCATGTTTGTCCAAAAAATGTTATCTCTTCTTACTTTTTTTAAAAAATTAGCTTCGGAAAACAAAAATGAACGACCGGCAGTTATCACATCAAAATGAATTAGAACTTCAAGAGCTTTAATGAGGGGAATAATTTCACTTGGTTGAGGTCGGAAAAGAGCCTTCGTTGCTAGGAGTTTTAATGACTATCTACCATCACGCATCATTATAAATCTAGTTTTGTGGAGATGATGCTGGACGACACCTAATCAATCCCATTGTTGTTCTAACTGGCACCATGAGCTCTCCATAACAATATGGAAGAATCCTACAGATTACTGATTCAAATAATTTGGCTAAATCTGACTGTCTGATTACCGCTTGAAATCTTGCAACTACTTGCAAAATTTAATCCTTCAGCAACGGATACTGTAGCGAAAAATGGAAGCGAAACTCCATATGCTGTTTTTATGCCACTTTGTGGTCGATTTGAAGAGAGAGCTTTATCAACTTAATCATTAAGTAAAATAAATATTCAGAATCTTTCCGTATGTAACAACATCTGAAATAAACTTTCAAAGTTTATCCTGAGGTATTGAAATTTGAAATTAATCTGCGAACCAAAAAAATGACTTTACCCACTTAAATAATCACTTTTATTCCACTCAATTTTACAAAAAGTGGAACAGAGAAAAAAGTGAGTGGCTATTTTATAGTTTCTTATCCATTAAAAAAACTTTAAATCCAGTGGATGAGGAATGAAATTGAGAAAAAAGCTTTTATGTGCAACATGAAGGAATACATAAATTTCTTATTAGCTTTGTTTCTTCTTCAACGGACGGTACTCAGCGACCACAACCGCATGATCCCTTTCATATGGTTCCAGCGTCACTTGCTCACGTGGCTTAAACTTTTCCTCCTTTAGTTTATTCACTTCACCAGCAAACACTGCTTCCGGTGCTGCCGTCGAATCAATGCAATTCGCCTAAATAAAAATTACAAGCAAGTCATAAAACATACCTAGTATATATAGAACTGTCGTTAAATAACCAATTCACTTTCTTAACAAGAAAAAAGGAAAAATTCCTAGATTAGCAACAGCTGAAAAGTCTAGTGTCCAGAATGTTATAGAAAGTGATCGCTACTCGACTGTTTGTCCGGTCCTTCGGCTCTATCACTTTGTATATATATATATATGACAAAAAATACTCAGTTCTTAAGAGGAATTGTACACTTTTATGGCTCTTTCATAGTTGAATACATACCCAACTTTTATTTTCCCAACTATTTCACACCCGTCATGCCAGTATCATTGGGAGCTAAAATTTAACCTAAAAGCATTTGGGAAATCTTAATATTTCTAGAAAATTGACTTCACTTGCTGATAGTAGTCTCAAGTGTTATGCACATAGTAGAAATCATATGTTTGGTCAAATGAGTTGGTGATCCTAAGTTCGTTTATGATCTCCCACCATTTTATAAATGATGGATGAGTTAAAGACAAAAATAAATGTATAGTGTAAGACATACAAACATTACATGTATGTAAAATGTGCTTTGCAACGTTAATTATAGCTGTTTCAGATGAGGCATATGCAAATGTTCAAATTGGCTTTTCAGGGTGTCATCAACTCTTAAAATGCAATGGCTTTGTAAGGGGATTTAGACAGATAGATCAGAAAGGACAAATGAATTACTACAAGCAAAAAAGTAAACGAACCTTAATCGAGATTACAACATGACCGCCATTTTTCAAGAAATGGTGGGCATTTATAGCAACAATTCTGGCTTGATCAGGCTGCGCTACATCAGAAAATATCGTATCCACCACTCCTACAAAGCATTATTTGATCATTAAAACCAACATCCCATTTTAATTCCTTTAGTTTTCTAAGGGAATTAAAATATGTAAAAATATATAACATCTATATAATAGTTACATACCGACAAGCATCCTGTATTTTTGAGGATGACGAGCATCGTCTACAATGGGAATGATATTTGGTCTCTTTTTTGCTATATTCAGCAGATCTCGACCAGATCTATGAGAAAATTCCACGGCATAAACCAAACCATCCTAAAAAAGTATTTTGGTAAATTTTGAAATTAAATTCATGGGATACAGCGGCGATTATGCTTAAAAATAATTGTGGTCTGTAACTTACTGGACCAACGATATCAGAGCAGTGAGATACAGTAGTGCCCGATGCAGCACCCAAATACAGAAGCTTTGATCCCGGTTTGATATGTATATCATCCAAACCACCAAGTATTGAAGCTGCCAATTTTGATCGGAAAGGATTCCAAACCCGATATTCAACCTTTTCCTTATCATCATTTTCAATGGACACTCTTTTTTCACCGTACACTGATTCACCAGTAACTAAGTTCCGAGTACCCAATGCATCCTCTTTGCCTTTGATGATAAAAACACCTGAATTTGAAAAAGTACAGAAAATTGAATATGGTAATTCTAAAAAGAGCAGTACCTTGATGAAAAAATAAAAAATTAAATAATAGAGAACATTGTAAATTAATAAAGAATGAAAATGATTAAATTTGGCATTACACGAATATTTTAGCTAGTGAAACGTTTGTTTTATACAAAACAATGGAAGTAAAGTACAAATGACACTAACCTTCATGTCGGTGTGGCTCGACGATAACCTTTCTGCCACCCCGCATTCCTCCACCTCGTCCTCCACCTCGAGGACTTGCACGACCCCGCGGTGATCGTCCTCTTCCACTACAAATGAACAAATGATGAAGTTAGCATTCACTTTATTTAAAGTCAGTTTAGAAGTTGTTGTTAACAATAGCAAACCTTGCAAACTGATCAGAAAAAGAAAAATTTTACATTTTATCTGTTATCGGTAGCTTATGTTTGTCAAGAATACAGCCGGCAAAAAATTTTTAGGAAAGCAAACGAACCCTCCGCGAACGTCTGCTCCATTCATACCACGAAAGCCTCTTCCACCACCGCCACCACTTCTCCTGTCACCAAAACTTCCCATTCCAACACTATTTTTGTCACCAAAACCACCTCGACCTGGAAGTTTATAATGTCTCCACAGAACACGCTGTTGCAATCACTTTCATGTTCTGATATATATGCAAATAATCAGAGTGATCTTGATTGCAGAAAAAAGAAAGTAATCACCACTTCCTCCTCGGGGTGACCCACGAAATCCACCACCTCTTGATAACCCTCGAAAACCACCACCACCTCTCGGGGAACCTCGAAAGCCAACTCCATCTGAAAAATACTAACAAAGTAGTCATCAACATTAAACGAAAATCAGGGAGATCAAAGCTCGAGTGGGATGATCAGTAAATGCGCAAAACCTACTGGTACTGGCGCCTCCTCTCGGTACATGAGCTGGATATCCCATTGTACAGTCTTTCTGAAATTAAAGTAATTTGGAGAATATTTTCGATTTAAAAACAAGTAAACGACAGTAACAATGGAGAATATTACACACATAAAACATCTCGCAGATAGAAACTATATAACAGGACGAGACGTCAATCTTTGAGTACTCACCGAAAACGAAGACAGAAAGACGAAAGGCTGGTGGAAAGAAAATGAGCATTGTTGTCGGACGGCACACGAGTCAAGGAATGCGGTCTACGTTCACGATGAGATGGATAAAAGAGGCAGTTCCCTGGTTCGTCCCCTGGTACCTGAGACACTAATACAGCACAGCACACGCAACTTATTCCCGGAAGTAAGACGTATATAAAACCCTTACGAGTATGAAGAGCAAACAAGAAAATGGATAATAGCTGGAAACCCTCGCACTGCAATACTAATTCTGCCTTTCCCCAACCTAAACTTCCCACACAGACGTCGTATTTCATAATGCGTTAATTTAACGATGATGGAATGGTTCGCCACTAGATGAGAAGGAATTCCGAGACTTCTCGCACTCTCTCATCAAATGTATTGTATTTATATATTACTCTTATTCTTTATCGTCTCCTGTCAGATAACAATCACTTTATTGCTACCGAGAATCACTCTCTTCTTGGTCTACAACAGCACATGTTCTCTTATAAATTCTTTTAATCTCTGTTGCACCCTGGTTACAATATAATTTTTATTCGTAATTGATTGTCTTCTGAAGAGTGTTTTGAGCAGGTTGATATGTTGCAGGTGTTGTTGGATAGGGAATTTGTAGTGAAGATTGGGAGGTGTTGTGGTGGCGAGGATGAGTTCTGATGAAGGATGTCGTCCTCTTCGCGGGAAAGTGCTATTACCAGCGAGTGGTGTACTAACTGAAGATGGCATTCCTTTCTATCATTTGATACGATATGCGCTGAAACCGATTCATTTACAACGAGTTAAGCAGTGTGGTTCGTTTTCATACTTTTCCTTCACGTATTTTCACTTCATGGCTAAAGGCGAAGAAAATGTTTAAGTGGGAAATTGATACAATTATTGACTTTACTCACAATACTTATTCATTTGCAAGTCAAAAATATCGATGATGATATACTCATATTTTACACAGTTCACATCCAAAATGGATTTTACGACATTTCTTCCGCCAGTTAGTGATGTGTTGAAATTTCAAGTATTTATTTAAGGGATCGAACTGAAAATTGGACAGTTTTCAAATGAAGAAAATAATCTACTTGAAAGGGTTTGATTTATTTCTTAACATTTTCTAAAAAGCCATGTCTGATTCGTCCCTCCTCATCTATTTGTAATTGCGATTCTGGTATGCTAGGAATTCTTTATCATTTGTTTGGAAAAGTTCCTTATATTTAAATATATAAGGTGTTCGAAATCTATATCGAACACTTTAAAAAAGTGATTAGATTTTTTTAGAACTGGGAGAGATATGCAGCAGCAAATAATGTCGATTGCAGTCGAGCTTATGAATTTGCAGGCGGTTATAGTAGAGAAATGGATGCGGATGAACGGATCAATCTATTAGTCTTTCAGAACAAAACTAATTTTGTTCCGGCAATGTGTAAGTAGTTTTCACATGTTGATGGAAAGAAAAAGTGTTGTATTATCTTTTTATGTTTCAATTAAAATATTTTATTAGCTCAATAATGTTACAATAGAGAATTTTTTCCATCAAAAAACTGTAAATCATTGCAGCTTTAATATTATTCGTACTGTTTAGTTTTAACAGATGTAATTTTTTTTAAGTTGTCATTTTCAATCGCAGTCGTTTCTTAGGTGAAGGACTCAATGATCGGACAGGACGACAGGTGATTAGCAGAATGTTGATTATGTACCATCCGGGTGAAAAAAACAGGTGCCATTATGTTTTTATTTACTGATTTTTTTTTTCAAATGTTTGCAGATCCTATATTAGTGCTTTTGAAAGTAAACAAAAAGTAGTTTTAAAAAAAAAGTAAAAAACTTTGAAAGCAAAAAAGAGATGCTGAATGATTTTTTTTTCATGATAAAAAATTAAAGTGGTATGGTTATAGATCAAATTTTTTCATAGAATAGATTTAGGAATTTCCTTAATCTATTTCTATGAACCTATTTTTAAAAATTACACATTGGTTTTCTTAAAGGATCATTTGTTTTTCATATAAAGGCCAGAATGGAACAATGAACTAGAGGAACAATTTGAGAAGTTGTATGCTGAAGGTTGCTCATCCCGGGCTATAAGTATTCGTTTGCAGCGATCCAAGGCCGAAATAGATTACCGAATTAATTTATTGAGAAGGAGAACAGAAAAACCATGTGATTTTGACGACTATGATACTGAATTGACTGATAGTGCTCGACAAGTTCTTTATGGTATTACATTTTTGATTTTTTTACATATTTTTATAGTGTGATTATTCGTATTTCTTGATTATTAAGACAAGATTGCCTATGTACTGCTTATATACCGTTTTTCTCTTAGATCGTTTATAAATACTTACATTTGCGAATTTCACGCTTGTTATTTCTTCAAGCTCACAGTCACTTTTTTTTTCTTTTAATTGTTATCGGAAAGAAACAGCATTTTAATTTTTTTGAAGGTTTTGTAACCAAATGGCTGCTTCCTAGAAATTGTCCTTCCGAATTAGAAGAAATGTTGCCAGAAAAAGAAACATGGAATGTGGCTGATTTTGCTTTACTGCAGGATCAGGAAAAGGCTATTTCATATTTACCCTGGCTTTCACTTACTTGGAAAATGTTACGTCCTGTTCCTGTGATCAAAAAATTGTGGTATTAGTTTTTATTTTTATATAAATATTGTATGATGCTACTTCTTTTAAAAAGCATTTTTTTTAAAGATAAAGATCAAGTTTTTTTCTTTCATATTGTACTTATATACAAACGTTTGCCATCTAAGTACTAGGTTTTTACCTCCAACCATGTTTTTTGCTAGTCTTATCATTTTAGTAATCGCTATGTACGTCATTGTGATATGCAAACGAAAATTGCCTAACTCATGACAATATGACTGATCTTGAAGCACTGTATCGTGATTTTCTGTGTATCACTACTAGTGAGGCTGTTAATGAAGGCCAGTATTCGGAATTCTGAATTTTCAAGAAACAAATATTTTTATCGTAGGTTGAAAGAGGTCGATAGATTACGTGCAACATGTGAAAGATTTGATGGCGATACAGAAAAGGCTACAGATGCTTGCATGCCAAAACTTCCTTTAATAAGTGTTGGCGAATATAGACGTGCTCTAAGTTTGTTTCTGGAACAAAAACCAATGTTCCCAAGTCGTATTGATATTGAACAGTTACAAAGGAGGTACGACCTTCAGTTGTTTTTAGTGCTTTGATGTGACGGCAATATTAGTTACCGGTTACGAACAATGACCCATATTTGATTTTAGACGCGATTTGTTATTCTTTATATAATTAATTTCGATTTCTTCGGTTATAAATCTCAATCGCTAGTCAGTTTTTGTAATTTGATTCCATGTTTGGGAACATGAGTAGCAGTAGAGGTCTGTGTATGCTAGTACTATTTTCGTATTTAAAATCTGAGAAATTTACATTCCAGAATCGAGGAGGAAAATTTAGTCGGATATTGCACAAATGGTTTAATTGAAGGTGAATTTCTGAAAAGAATGTTGTGCGGTCATATTGTTAATTTTAGACATGCCACAAGGGCAATGAATTTCAACTGTGTTGGTAAGCTCTTTTAAACGAAATTATTCTCTGAAAATTTTTCTGCAAAGTTGGAGGAAATTATTAGATACTTATTAGCTTCTTCAAGAACTGTAATGTTTCGGAATTAAATGTTGTATAACTTTCTTAACTTATTAGTAAGTGTAAAATTGGATACCTATCAACAGAAACATTTCGCCTGCACAATTTTCAGATTGGATTACCGTTCTGATCGAGTATCTGACGCACTTGGATGGAAGTCTCAGGAAGTGGCACTATAGTATGAAGTATGTAAGAGAACTTATTTCACAAAAATTGGAAAAAAAACATGAAAATGTTCTAATTAGCAGTAATGATACTATGAACGCTGATGAGAATAATTCACTTTCTTATTCAGCAGCATTTAACAGGGCTCATAAATATGAACAAAAAAACTGCATATCATATATTAATGATTTAGAAGTACACAACACAAATAATCAAAAACTTGTAACAAATGAGGGATCTACTGCTTCTGATTTTTATACTGAATACTTCACCGAAAAATTAAGAAATCTTATCGAGTCTCGAATTATATTGTTTGATGAACAACAACAACGAAATTTTGGGAAAAAATTAAGGAAGATAATGAAGAAGGATGAGAAATTAGAAGCATTGCGAGGATTAATTGAGAAAATGATTTCCATCCTGGAAGATGAGCAAAAAATGAATTTGATCAGAAAACACGAAAAGATCATAAGAAGATTCCAGAAAATGCAGGGAGCGAGAAGTACGCAAAGTGACGTTCACTGTGATTTTAATGAAGCGGAAATGCCTAATAAAAGTTGCAATGGAAAAGATGAGACAGGAAACTATAGTTATTCTGAAGGAGTTGCTGGAATGATCCAAGAGACAAAGATGTTAGATTCTGATATTGGTTTTGATATGAGTGGTTCATTGGAAAAGGATAAAGCAAATAGTAAAGGAGAATCAAGACGACGGAAATAAGAAGTAGGAGTTATTGGTGGGACTCTATTTTATCAGGGCTAAATGAGCTAGTAAAGCCAGTTCAAGAATCACAGTGTGGCATTGTGGACATCGTTCCATCTCCAGCAAGAAAGTATGAAGGAATTAAACATGAAAAGAGAGGAAATTATGATACCATCACTAAATTCTTCAGCATACTGAATGCGTAGCAATTGAATTTCGAATAGCCTTGTTATTCTCTTTTTTATTATCGTAACATGGAGACAAAATTTTGATTATGATTATAGTGAACTTTGTTAACATATATACATTGGATCGGGCTTTCTGTATTTAATGGCTACTCTCACTATCTACTTTTTTTTTCTTTCTTTTTATAAGCTTAATTCTAACAGACCAGTATATGCTTTTTTACATGACCTTAAATTTTGAAAACTTTGTGATTTCTAATCCCTGATCAAAACTGCTAATGAGAAAATCATATGAATCGGTTTTTATTTCTTACTGAATATGAAGAATTTGTAAGAGTCATTGACTTCAGTGTTAATATATACATTTATAACTCTTTTTGTTTGCAGATAACGGGATGTTTAGACATTTTTTGTGAACATAAACTTCTTTAGTTTGTTGATAACTAATTTGAATAAGCACACTGAAACAACTTTCCCCAGCTAGTCATCTTTATTAAGGTTTATAAGAGTTGTTGCAAGGATGTATTTGGAACGATCTGCGTGTTTCATTTAAAAGGTATTTCTCATTATTAGGATGTTTTTACGTTGATCATGTCTCTTCATAATGATGCAATTGAACAGCAGAATACTAAGAACGCAAACTGACAATTTATGAGTAATCAGTTGAGTATCTAGTAAAACAAATAATGAACGAAAATGTGTGTAATCGACGACAAATATTTCTAAATGATGTGGTCAGCTGCTTTGAAGTTACAGTTATATCTTTTATATATTTACGTACTGCTTATACACTCCCCTGACATAATTCATGCAAGGCTTACATTTTACGCAGTTTTGAAGCAAAACCCTTCATATAAGCGTTGGACTGAGAAATAATGTGAGAGCCAATTGTTGTTGAAGAAGTGTGCAAACATCCTCCCCCAAACTGACGGTCTAGAAATATTTGCACGACTTATAAGCAGCTTTGAGATTTCAACAGATTTTAGAGCTTTATAAGATATACCGATGAATTATTAGGTCAAAATTGACGGAACTTTCTTGGTTAGTAAACTCTGGTTAAAAACTCCGATGCAGCTTTTGTTATTGAAGCTATGTGTAAGAGATTTTCACTACAGCATTGGTGTCGTAGCAGTACTAAAAAATCCCAAGAAAGCGAATTGATTTCCTGTGAGTCGATTTCGATATCCAAAACCATTAGATGCATGCAAGTTTTAAATGCAATTTAAAAGCAAAGAATAAGGGCAGATTCTGTACCAACCTTTCATTTACATAAAAGAGAACAACAATCAACACATGTGTTATGAAGTGTTTTTAAAAAGTAATTATATTTCTATTTCGGGTTCGTAAGCAATATCTCGTCCAAGCTCAGTAGCAAATTCGTAGTATAGCTGAGAAACATCAAATGCTGGAAAGCGAATTTTCTCGGTCGGCGAAATGTGTACCACTGCAAGAAACAATAATATTTCAAACATAACAGAAGTACAGTACAACTAGAAGCATAAAAAATAGATCAAACTACAGATATGTAAACTATGTAACTATTAAAAAGGAAGAGAACTAACTATTGCAAACACCGCCAGAACCGGTATCACGATAAGTAGCATGCATTATTCCTCGCCGACCCAGTTTGTATGCTTCTTCATCTGTCATTTTAGGACGGTAAAAATTGTCTAGGATACCATAAGCACTGAAATAAGCGAACATCTTGGCAAAACATATATTTTTACTCTCAATTTTCCCGAAAACATTGACATTAGCTCCAGGTGCATTTGCGCAGTCCATTCATCCAGTCCAAAAATTCGAAAAGCTTCGTCCTAGCATTAATTAAACAGTTTTAATAATTCAAATATATGCAAAACACACCTCAGTGAACCTGAACCTATGCTACATAGTCTTAACTGAATGCGCTGTCCTTCACTGTCAACTTTAAAAATCGCAGGACCACGCTTGTCATAGCCAGCAATCATGGAGCCCTGAAAAAATAATTAGAGTTTTAATAAACATTCTATCTGCTTCGATATTTTATCAATAATTTCGTAACCAACACATCTGGACAAAGTACATATGGTTTCAAAGCAAAAACATTATAATTTAAAAGAACACATCTCCTTGAATCTCAACACCACTTTCATAAAAATCTAACAAGTTTAAGTCGGTAATATCGACTCAAAAGTTTTGGAGAGTTTCTAAAAGAATAGCAAGGTGAATATGCTAAAAATTAGTAAAAGAACACCACTCACGACTGACAGTCCATGGTTTCGATAAGAATATAAAACATTCTGGAAATATTTGCTTGCAGCAGCCACAGTAATTTCCGTTTTTTCTCGAAGCTCGTACAGTCTAAAAAGTTTTTTTTTTATTTATTTGATCTTTTATTTACGACAGGATCATGGGAAAAAAAATTTATATACAATAAAAATCATACAAAAAACTAACGTGCAATATTTAGCAACTATACGTGTCCAAAATTGACAGTCGGCGGCACCACCAGCCATAGTTGCCACCATTCGATCGCCGATGTCCAGTATTTTCATAACACTCTTGGACGCTGTAAGGAATCTCAACTTATAATAAATTCTAAACTTTCCAAGTTATACAGCTCAGAAAACTTTTAGATTTTCATCAGAAATTAATAAAAATAGATCTGGATGAAATCTGATTACATATGTATTCTCCAGCAGATGCACGCGAATCCACAGCAACTATAATCCCTCCTTTATCTGCTGGCGTTTTTGGCTCATAGATGAATGCAAGTGTTGTAGTTCCTTTCAAAAACTGCAAATTTTTTGCACCCGAATGTTTGCCGAAATGTGATTCGACAAATTCAGCAGGCTGAAAGAATAGAAATCCAACGACATAACAGCACTTCTTATTAGTGTAATCGAAAGATTAAAAGAATAATGATATGTGTTACACACTTGCGCAACACGAGGCTTATTTCTCCTTTCTCGCATTAACTAAAATGACAAAAAAAGTCCCTTAGAACTCGTTTAAATGTTTTTCTAAAATACATTGAAACAAGAATACAAAATCGATAAAACAAAGATTACAGCACACACAGAGAGAACTTCTTTGTTTAATGAAACTTCTGAAATTTGAACATCAATATTAGCTAGTACTAAAAACTTCCCTAATCAATATGCTGCCTTCTGATGGTGCAAAAATAATCAAACTGTTCCGTTAAGTACATTCGACATTATATTTCTCGTTGCTCCTACAATACATGACTTTTTCTATGTGGCATTTACATGACTGAATAGACTGAAGGAGTTACTTACTGTTCCATATGGAGGCTGCATGAAGCACAAGTCGTCTATGACTGGCTCGTGAAGGTCACGCTGTGGCACGTCATCATTTACGCTACCGACTAACATAGATATCTGTAGAAAGAGGAACCCAAACTTCTTCAAGTATAACCAAATGAGAGCAAAGCACAACGCACTTCTATTTTCAACACTAACGAAATCGTTATCAAACCAGTTTCAATACGCTACTCTGGTTTCATCAGTATGCGAATCCTCCGGTAAAAGAACCGTCTTTGTTTGGATTGTATGAAGTTGGTGGATGTGGGTGGTTGGTTTTAACTCGATATCTCGGAGGGACTGATAAGGATAGTTCGTAATAAACCTTTTATTATTATCACATAAAGATGGAGTGGTGTTAAATATGATGGCACAACGGTAATTAGTAGTAAAATCTTAAGGGAATATTTTGAGAATGGTAAAGCAACAAATTAAAAGTAATTTTTTCTTGACAGAAAATTTGAAAATGCTATTATCTATATTTGAGGGAGTTCGTTCTGAGTTTGCTGACGGCTGCATTTCCGTTTTAAATGATTGCAGTTATTCTTTGTAGTCGTTGAAAATGTTTTGCAGCTGATTTGTCTTACTTCATAGTTAAAGAGTTCGGATCTTCATGGAAAGTTTACTGCTTCGATTCGCATGAGTAAGTCTTTTTACAAATTTTTGAGACTTCTGGTTCTCAGTTCTTAAAAAAAAAAGAAAGAAAGAAAAAAAACGAATCTCTTGTTGCGATTTCGATTGTCTCAAATTTGTTTCCTAGAAATGGGCAGAATAAAGCTCTGTAAAGTTTAGTTACTGAATTGATTTACTCAAGATAAATACCATAAAATATTTTGTTTGCTAATTATGGGTACAGATTGAGGATTGAACATTACACATTGCATGGATAGGTAACTTCATTTTGAAAACAATTAGACATCAATACAGCATAATAGAAAGTCCTAACAACCAAAAGTATGTAAGAGCTCGATATAAGGACTTTTTTTAAAAATAAAAATTTCCAGAAATCATTTCTAAATACCCTTTCATAAATATTAAGACTTTTACATACAAGTATATGTACGGAAATTTTAGTGTTTATGAAACACGGTTTTGATAAGCCATTTGAATAAATTTTTCTGTCATACTTCTCACATTCCACCAAATTTCTAATGCTAATGGAGATGAGATCAAACTATTCATTTAATTCAAATTTTAAGGCATGAAATGAAACTAAACCCTCAAACAAATTCGCCTCGAAATTTCATTTGAAATTTCATGTTCAGAAATGAGAACTTATCACTGAAAGACATTACTCTCGTTTATTTGTAACCATAATTTTCCAAGAAGTGACAAAACACAAATAATGATTATACATTAGAATCTGTGCTCTTGGATATTCTGCGTTGTCCACCACCACCGCGATGATACCCTTCACGTTTATGATTTTTATAATTCTTCGCTTTTATGCTACCATAATGTTCCAGACGGCACTGTTCATCGGCTTCCTTAATTTCCATTCTTTTTGCAACAATTTGTTCATCGATTAGGG